TGGCTTTCTCAAGGACCAGGATGTGACACAAAAATCTGAATTATGGAACTGAAAGTGAAAGTAGTCAAACTGAATTTTTAATAAACCAAAATACAGTTTCAAAGCAAATTCAGATACAAAACTTTAAATTCAGTTTCAATTTAGTGAAATTTATTTTCAAACCAATTCAGTCAATTTCAAATTATGAACTTTCAGATTCAATCTGAGCAATTCAGATTCACTTCCTGCTGGCACAAGATTGATCCCGTAGAAAAGAGACAAACACTGAGCAGAATTCAGAATGAACAAGAAAAATTAGTTAAAATGTTCCTAAAATGAGTTAAAATATTCAAACATATGTTTTTAACTCTTAAATTTAAATGCGACTGGTTTTAGTTAAACTGAAGCGTTCAAGGTGTTTCATCAAGAAAAGAGGATTTTATTTTGAAATTAAACATTTTAAACTCATTCAGCTCAGCTGTTTTCACTTCAGCATTTAAGACAAAATACACAAACAAGTTGAGAGAAATAAACTGTCTTAAATAAAACTCAACAAGTTTATAATTTAATCTCAATTTTATCGAGCTCCAGTCAGTTTAGTCTCAGAAAACCCTCGACTCTGAAATATTTCATGAAAGTTGTTTTTTTTTAACTAAAGGAGAAATTTAAGTCAAAGTAAACATCCCACAACCACAAAACTCATCATTTAGATTTTGTCTGTCCGGTTTGAGTCTGGCTGTGATCTGAGGAGGAAATGGAAACAGGAAGTAGGAAACGGGAAACAGGAAGCAGCGGACGATGGATTTGACAGGAGGCGGACCGACCTGGAAGAGACTGGCGGTGAGCTCCTCCAGCTCCTGGCCGAGCTGATCTCTGACTTTAGACAACCTCTCACACTCCTCATCCTTCAACAGCAGCTCCTTACACACACACACACGTGTACACAAACAGAAAACCAAACAAAACAATAAACATGCAGGTAAAAATCACAGTGTGGCAAAAACAGAATGAAGTGAAAAAATAAACGTTTCATCTTAAATTAGAAGAAATGAGAACAAAAAATAAATAAAATAAACATGAGCGATGACATGTCTGCGCGCGCGCACACACACACACACAAACACACACACAGAGTTTCCTTCAGTTTGGCGTTAGACCCGGCTCTTGGCTCCGCCCCCTACCCTCTGAGCCTTGGCCAGCTCCTCCTTCAGCCTCTCGTAGCCCTTCTCTCGGACCTCCATCACCGACGGGCTGCGAAGCCTCGACAGGCTGTCGCTCAGAGCGCCGCACTCCTCGCCGTCCTCAGTCGTGCCGCCGCCGCCATCGGCCACCGTGGCCTCCAGGCCGGGCACGCTGTAAACAACAACAACAACAACAACAACAGGGTTTGTTTACTGAGCATCAGAACGTTGTTTACTTTCAGCTTCTTTACCTCCCGTTGTGGCTGTGGCGCGGCGCCGAGTAGACCGGCTGCGTGGGCAGCTGGTCTGCGCGCAGGGAGGTGGGGAGGCCGGCGGGGGGCGGTCCTAAGGAGTGGGTGCGGTACAGGGTGGTGGGCGGGGCGCTGTGACGAGCCGGGGGGCGCTGCTCCGCTTGGTTCTGCTCGACGACACAGAGACACGTTCAGAATCCGTCAGACGAGTTCTGACAGGTGAGGCTGTCAGTTACCTGAAGGTCAGGTGTGGTGGGCGACGCCAGGTTCACTTCCTGGAAGCCCTCCAGGCTTCCGGCGTTGCTCTGACCGCCGCTGCAGGCCATAGTGCCTGATCTCTGACATTATCCAGTCTGCACACAACACCAACCACAACATCTGATTGATCTGTGTGTGTGTGTGTGTGTGTGTGTGTGTGTGTGTGTGTGTGTGTGTGTGTGTGTTACCATAGTGCAGCTGTAGATGGAGACACACACAGGCTCTGCAGGTCAACCAGGACAGCTAACAGCCAGCTGTTACCTACAACAGAGACCAGAGGACCATTATTGTCTCGGTCCAACAGGACGTGCAGCTGACTCAGCACTTTCAGAGGCAGAAAGGGATGAATGGATGTTGTTCTGCCCTGAGATTTGTCTCTCAGGCTGAAGCTCTTAGGCGCAGCGTTCAGTCCAGAGGTGTTTGGATCGATGCAGTGTCAGCCGAGAGTAAAATACTGCACCCGCTCCTGCAGCTGAACCATGGAGCTTCAGCCTTTTTTCACCTCAAGTTTGTTGCTCAGCTGTGCTGCTAAACGTTTGTTTCTGACTGAGTGGCTTAAAGATCGTTCCTCTGATGAGAACCAGGCTGAAAACATAAACAGCTAAAAGGCAGAAGCCCTGAGTGCATTCAGAAGCACTTTCAGCTTGAATTACCAAGATTTAGGCTAGTTTTTTGCTTCTATTAGCTTTAAGCAAGCCTTTTGCTACTATTAGCTTTAAGCACGTTTTGCTACTATTAGCTTTAAGCTAGCCTTTTGTAACTATTAGCTTTAAGCTAGCCTTTTGCTACTATTAGCTTTAAGCTAGCCTTTTGCTACTATTAGCTTTAAGAGCCTTTTGCTACTATTAGCTTTAAGCAAGCCTTTTGCTACTATTAGCTTTAAGCAAGCCTTTTGCTACTATTAGCTTTAAGCTAGCCTTTTGCTACTATTAGATTTAAGCTAGCCTTTTGCTACTTTTAGCTTTAAGCAAGCCTTTTGCTACTATTAGCTTTAAACAAGCCTTTTTCTACTATTAGCTTGAAGCACGTTTTGCTACTATTAGCTTTAAGCAAGTCTTTTGCTACTTTTAGGTTTAAGCAAGCCTTTAGTTACTATTAGCTTTAAACAAGGCTTTTGCTACTTTTAGCTTTAAACAAGCCTTTTGCTACTTTTAGCTTTAAAACAAGCCTTTTGCTACTATTAGCTTGAAGCAGTTTTGCTACTTTTAGCTGAAGTTTAGCTACTCTGAGCTTCTAGTTATTAGCTCAGGCTGCTGGCTAATCTAAGCTAACAATAATAAACTTGACCCGACAGGTTTGTAAAAGTAAAAACAGAAGCAGGATCAGCCTCACCTGTTCAGACAGGTGAGTTTCTGCCAAAGCAAAGTGAGACACAGAGAGGGGTCAGACTAACTTCACCTGCATCAGACCAAACGGCTGGTCTSCATGGAAACCAGTCCTAAAGCTGCGGGAACCCGACACCCTGAGCCAAGAGGACCACAGACACGGGTTCTGTGTCGACCCAAAACAACACAACTGACAGAAAACTGGGCCAAGTGGAAACAGTTTACCTCCACAAACAGGAGGGGGCTCAAAYAAACAAACAAACAAACAAACAAACAAACAAGAACTAAAGATTTTTATTCTCTTTACATCTGGTTTAATTTTTCATTTTGGACCTGGTTCTGGAGGGTTTAGACAAACATTAACACTACAGCTTAAAGCTAGTATTTAGCATCTATATAAACATTATAGCTACATTACTGTTTGGATGTTAAATTCTTAAGCTATAGCATAATTTAGCTACTTTTAGCTTCTAGACAGAGATTACTGTAGCTTATA